AATAAGAAAGGGATCGAGAAGGTATACCTGGAGTTTACCTGGAGAGAGTTTAAACTCCAGGTATACCTTCTCGATCCCTTTCTTATTATTTGTACTCGCTCTAGCCAACCTTTCTTCCAATAGTTGCTTATAGGGTAGAGTTAAGAACGACAGTGCTAGAGTGTTCAGCAGAAGTTGCAGGTAGGGAGGGACGAGGAACGCTTGATGGAACAACGAGGCAAATAGAGTGGTAAGGAAGAAAAACTAGGTATATGAGAGTTTCTTACAATGTAGGAATGATATTACGGAGGGCGGAGTATATGGCGAGTAAAAGAGAGGTAAAAGAGTGGAGAAGGAATGCAAAAGAAGACCAAATGAGAGTGAGTGAGGTTTATCAACAAATTATACTGAGAATAATAAAAACTTTCAGAGTGAGATTAATGGGTTGAGAATGCCTAAGGAACAAATGGATTTAACCATTAAAAACAAAAGAAGGGAGTTATTAGATGGGGCTGTGGAGGTATTTGGAAGATTGGGGAAAATGTTTTGAAGAATTGTTGAATGTTGATGAAGAGAAATAGACAGCGACTTCTTGCACTGGACAGGGTAGCATAACACTTTTTAGGAGTGAGGAAAATACAGATGTTAGTGTGGGGGACGTGCGTGAGGCAGTGGGTAGAATGATAGAGTAAAACAACTGAGAGTGATGGGATTAAGACAAATATTAAAAGCAGGTGGGGAGAGTTTTATAGTGGTTGGTGCATTTGTTCAATATATGCATATGAGGGAGAGGGTACTTAAGAATTGACAGAGAGCATGCATAATTTTGTATAAGGAAAAAATGGAATAAAAGAGATTGTATGAATTATAGGCGAATAAGCCTGATGAGTATACTGGGTAATATGTATGGTAGAGTTACTATTGAAAATATCAAGGTGAGACGCAGAGCAGAATCGCAGAGGAACAAGAAGGTTTAAGGAAGGGAAGAGGATGTGTAGATCAAGTGTTTACAATCAGGCATTTAAGTGAACAATACTGAGGCAAAGGTAAGGAATTTTTCATAATTATGGATTTAAAAAAGGCAAATAACAGGGTGGATAGGGAAGCAATATAGCAGACGATGCAAATGTAAGGAATAAGTGGTTGGTTACTTAAAGCAGTAAAGAGTTTTTATGAAGATAGTGAGGCTCAGGTTAAGGTATGTAGGAAAGAGGGAGATTATTTTCCAGTAAAAGTAGGCCTTAGACAGGGATGTGTGATGTTACCATGGTTGTTATACGTGTTTATAGATGGGATTGTAAAGAAGTGAATGCTCAGATGTTGGGAAAAGGTGTAGAATTAAAATATACAGAATCTTATATAGTGAAAGTTGTCACTGGGAACTGTTGAAATTCCTTGATTTGTACTCCTTGGAGCTCATGTGAGATACATATTACATACATTTGGAAAATCCTAGAGTGCTTAGTCCCAAATCTGCTCACAAAAATCACTCCCTACGAAAGCAAAAGACTGGGCAGGAGATGCAACATTCCCCCAGTGAAAAAGAGGGGCACCGAGAATACACTGAGAGACAACTCAATAAGTATCAGGGGCCTAATGCTGTTCAACTGCCTCTCAGCATACATAAGAGGAGGGTTACCAATTGTTACGAGTATGGTCATACCCGTTCTATTTTATAATAGAATATGTCCCTTTATTTTATAGTATACACGTTAAGGCTAATATTAATGCTAATATTGTATTATATTATGTTTTGTTAGGCTTTAATATTCTTATTTCCATGTAGTGGTAAACCACTTGGTTTAAGTGCCGGTTAGCAGTTCAGGTACTGAGGTCTCCCTCAGTCACGTGACCAACCTGACGTCGGCTTACCACTCAATGGTACCGTCAATAGGTTCACCACCCTTGCTCTGAGTAGCTTTACAGCACTCGTTGAGAGCAGGTCCTTCATACTCACTCTGACTAGCACTCCCACTTCTAGTCCGGCTTACATAGCCAAGGGAGCGTATCTCACCCAGTTAATCATTGACCTCTCAGTTTAGTTTAATATGTTTATTATGCACCACATACCCATCCTGTGGGCGGTAGTCAAAAGATTACAGAGGTACATAATTGGTCCAGGGACTGGACTCCAAAGTTTTGATAGCTGAGCAACTTACAGAGGTAATGAACTCACAATTTACAAAGGTAATGAACTCCAGGTAGGTCTAGTCACAATCATGACAAATTACGAAGGTATTTACAGATTACAGAGGTACGTAATGGGTCCAGGGACTGGGCCCCCAAAGTTTTGATAGCTCAACTAGGTACAAAGGTAATGAACTCACAAGTTACACAAGAGACATGTCAAGTTCTCTCTTGTGGTCGTTTTTCTTTCATGATTGACTTCCTTTCTTAAGCTTGTTACTTTCGAGTTATTAATACTCGGGTTAATTAATCTTTCAGGTGACTGAATAAGCCTTGTCGGCCATCGTGTTAATTTGTGGTCTATGCTATTCTAAGTCATGCTGGATGGGAATGAGACTAAGTCCGTCACTTACGAGTTCTGGTATACTCTGAATTGATAGTTCAGCTAAGTCTTTATAACCATTATAAGTTACTTGTGGTTGTCTTAATAACCATTATAGGTGTATATTATTAGTGAACTTGGTACAAGGTTTATTTATTCATATCAATGTACTGGTACGTACCAAGAGAAATTTAAGAGTTAAACTCCTTATTTTATGTTAATCCTAACATTATGTCATACATTAAGCTAAAACTCTACTAGTAAAGATTCTAGGTTCTAACGCGACGGGCTGGAGTTTTGAGCCTCTCTGACCGCGGGTTCAATCCCGGCCGGGGTATGATATGTTCAAAAAGAATGTTACCTTAACACTCTACCATACCATTGGAGAAGGTTAAGAAGACTAGTTTTGTAACACCAATAGACCCCTGGTTGTCTTCAAGAAGAAGCTGGACAGGCTCCTTAAGTCAGCATTGGACAATCCAGGCTGTGGTTCGTACGTCGGTTTATCTGCGGCCAGCAGTAACAACTAATCACGAGGCCTGGTTATGGACCGGGCTGCGGGGGCGTTGACCCCCGAAATCCCCTCTAGGTATACTCCAGGAGGATGTATAAATCTGGGGTAGAGGGAAGGAAGGGTTGGGGTAGTCCTAGGAAAGGTTGGAGGGAGGGGTAGAGGAGGGTATGAGTGCTAGAAACTTGAGCATCCAACAGCGTTAGATAGGAGTGAGTAAAGGCATTTGGTTTTTGTGATCTGACGTGCTGTTGGAGTGTTAGGAAGATAACATTTATGAAGGGATTCAAAGAAACTAGTTAGCCAGACTTTAAGTTGTGGAGGTGGGAAGTACGGTGCCTGCACTCTGGAGAAGGAGTGAGGATATTTGCAGTTTAGAGACGCATCTGAACTGTCCCTTTCTCCTGGGCAAGGTCCTCCTGGCCTGGGCAACTTAACACACTGCCTGTGTACCAAGAACTCAAATAAAGTAACGTAGCCTTCGAAGCCTCATTAATGATCCCCGGCTTGCACAGGACTCAAATCAAATTACGATATAGGTACCCTTTATACTTGCAAGAAAGTTTTCTAGAAACAAATGCCTTTTCTAACATCATTGCCTCCAACACTGAGGAAACATTGAGGTTGGTCCCATTACCTTTCACAATCCCTTCCCTTTTAAAAATTCCCTTTCCCATGCGGGCCTCTGTAAAGCAGTGTCGCCCTCCTGTCTATTACATAATGTTCGATCCATATATATAACCTGTCTCTTACAATGAGCATATCCTTATTGTTAAAAATGGTATAAAATACTGGTAAATTGAAGATTAAGACGCATGTGCAACTTGCATTAATGTTGGTAGAATTACCGACACAATTGCAACTAATGTGGCATTTTATTGAGGCAACGTTTCAGCTTTATCAAGCTTGATAAAGCTCCTGGTGAGCGACACGTTGCCACAGTAAGATGTCAGTTTAGTTGCACTTGACAAGACTGTTCACGGTGTCCCCGCCACAGGGCTGTAAACGGTACATCGCTAGAACAAACTCCGACACTCCTTCGGGAATCAGTGCCGGGTCACCACATGGAGAAGACCCGGGTCAGGACCCGTCCTGGCTAACCTACACGAACATGAACCTCTGTATGTTAGAAGTGATCACGGTCCTAGGACCGTAACGTTTACTAATATTTCCTACCATTTGCTTACTTGTCTTTCCTCTCATCCTGGTATACAACAATTTTCATTCTCCAAATTAAATCTTCCTCAGTCTCGTGTTTCTCTCTTTACTGGTACTTGATTATTGCCCTTCCATTGATTCTAACACATTCAACATTACAATCCTCGACATTATCGCAGTTATTGCTCCACTTATGAAAGCGAGTTGACAATTTCTCGTTCACCTCCCTAAGAAGCTGCCCTCTGCCTCCAAGGTACTACAACGTTCCTCGTACCTTATATAGTAAGTTATAAGTAAGTTTATTTAGGCCCAGGTACACACAAGTACAATTATTATGCGCTGTTCAACATATGTGTAAATTACTTAGGATAACCCACTGGGGTCCGTGTGATAGCTTATTATTTAAAGCCCAGCTGTAAGATACAGTAGAAATCATGTTCATTTTACTCAGGCGACCTGACGCGGAGTATTTAACTGGGGATGAGTGGGGACGCCGAGCTTTCTCAGGGGATGAGTCAAGTATCAGGAGATCCCCTGAGACTCATCAGGTGAGTGGGCGTCACCCTACACCCGGGGTTGTCATAGTCACCCCTCATAGGACTAACCACACCCACATGTGATCACTCACACTCCTCATATACCTATTACCCGCCACCAGCACTGCCTCTCACACCTTATTTCCCCACGAAACATTACTCACCATATTTACCTCGAATCGTAATCGCCAGAAGTGTGAGTAAACAAGTCTTGCATGTCTGCGTCACCTCTATTATTTGCCAACTTACGAAACATGATTAAAAAAGCCAAATATAATGGAAAAGTTTGTATCGGACGTGGAATTCTAGTTGTGTAGGGAGCGTCAGGGGAGGCAGAGCTCAGTGTGTGTTGAAACATCAAGGTGGAGTGTCGTGCGTCTCTCTCTCTCTACTCTACTGACAACCCAAAACTTAACTGATTATAAATATATACATACTGACACGTTCTGCGTAACCTGGAACTTTAGAGATAATTCATCGTGTTCATCAGCCTCGTAAATAGGTAAGTTTATTTATACATAATTCTTTGGAGTAAATATCACAGGTATTATGTATACTATGTATTACCGGCAAACACATGACTATTTCTTCACAGGTATGACTGGACACACAACACAGTGTTGTAAATTGTGTTGCTTCATCGCTCATATCTTATTTATGTATCAAAATTAAGTACAGTACATTATACAGCCTAACGTAACTTAATTACAAAATTCAGTGGTGTAGACATTCTCTCTCTCTCTCCTCTCTCTCTCTCTCTTTTCTCTCTCTCTTATATTATATATATATATATATATAAATATTATATATATATATATACGTATATATATATATATATATATATATATCTATATATAATATATAACTTATATATATAATATATATAATAATTTAATATTTATATACATATACACCTATATATTATATAAATATATTATAAATACTTTAAATATGTTTGAAATTAAGGTTGATGATGGCCAATCATGGATTGCAGACACCCCGTCTGGGAGCTGGTGATCTGATTTCAAGTAGTGTGCTTTTCTACCTTTGTAAAATTTGAAGCAGATTGTCTTTCCATCCTCTAGGTACTGTAGACCCCAACTGGTTTAGCGTTTTCCCCCTAAAGAAATATTCTTTCGTATGGTTGTTAGGTATTTATGGTGGTTAGGATACATTGGTATTTATTTGGGGGTTAGGATACATTAGGTATTTATGGTGGTTAGGTACATTAGGTATTTATGGTGGTTAGGATACATTAGGTATTTATGTTGGTTAGGATACATTAGGTATTTATGTTGGTTAGGATATATTAGGTATGTATGGTGGTTAGGATACATTAGGTATGTATGGTGGTTTAGGATACATTGGGGGATGTATGGTGGTTAGATACTTAGGTATTTATGGTGGTTAGGATACATTAGGTATTTATGTTGGTTAGGATATATTAGGTATGTATGGTGGTTAGGATACATTAGGTATGTATGGTGGTTAGGATACATTGGGTATGTATGGTGGTTAGGATACATTAGGTATGTATGGTGGTTAGGATACATTAGGTATGTATGGTGGTTAGGATACATTAGGTATGTATGGTGGTCAGGATTACATTAGGTATGTTTTTGGGGGTTAGGATACATTTGGTATGTATGGTGGTCAGATACATTGGTATTATGGTGGTTAGGTACATTAGGTATTTATGGTTTGGGTTTGGATATATTAGGTATGTATGGTGGTTAGGATACATTAGGTATGTATGGTGGTTAGGATATATTAGGTATGTATGGTGGTTAGGATACATTAGGTATTTATGGTGGTTAGGATATATTAGGTATGTATGGTGGTTAGGATACATTAGGTATGTATGGTGGTTAGGATACATTAGGTATTATGGTGGTTGGGGTATAAATTTGGTAAAGTATGGTGGTTAGGTTATTAGGTATGTATTGGGGGTTAGGATTATTTGGATGTATGGTGGTTAGGTACATTAGGTATTTATGGTGGTTAGGATATATTAGGTAATGTATGTTGGTTAGGATTTTTTATGTATGGTGGTTAGGATACATAGGTTTTATGGTGGTTAGGATATATTAGGTATGTATGGTTTGGTTAGGATACATTGGTATGTATGGTGGTTAGGATACATTAGGTATTTATGGTGGTTAGGATAATTAGGTATGTATGGGTTGGTTTAGGATAATTAGGTATGTATGGTGGTTAGGATACATTAGGTATTTATGGTGGTTAGGGTATATTAGGTATGTATGGTGGTTAGGATACATTAGTATGTATGGGGTTAGGATACATTAGGTATGTATGGTGGTTGGATACATTAGGTATGTATGGTGGTCAGGTACTTAGGTATGTATGGTGGTTAGGATACATTGGTATTTTATGGTGTGTTAAGATATTAGGTATTATGGGGTTAGGATACATTAGGTATGTATGTTGGTTTGATAATTAGGTAGTGTATGGTGGTTAGGATACATTAGCTAGTAAAGGTGGTTAGGATACGTTAGGATGTATGGGGTTAGGATACATTATGTATGGCGGTTTTAAGTCATAAGACACTTTGGGAAAACTTTGGGTATCCCTACTGCGGACTTTCGCACAGAAAGCCTGATGCCCAGGGCCGAACGTTTGGTAATTAAGATAACGATGTGCTAACGAATGTGGTTTCACCAGCCCCGTCATAGGTAGGTACAATATTGATATGATAGGTTGGGCCCGCCTCTCCTGCCTACTTCTGGTCAGTTTTCCCAGTGATCAACAATGACACTGGGCAGTTGGAGCATCTGGAACTGTGTTGTTTCAATAGTTGTGTCCTTGATTCAAGGTCACTTTTCCTTGATTCAAGGTCACACTGTCTCGGTTTCAAGGTTCACACTGTCCTTGATTCAAGGTTAACCCGTGTCATTGGGTTAAGGTTATCTGTTCATTGATTCAAAGTTAAACTGTGTCCTTGATTCAAGTCACTGTCCTTGATTCAAGGTTATACTTGTCCTTGATTCAAGGTTATACTGTGTTATTGATTTAAGGTTATACTGTTCCTTGATTCAAGGTCACATTGTCCTTATTCAAGGTTTACTGTGTCCTTTATTCAATATTTACTGTGTTCTTGATTCAAGGTCACAGCCTTGATTTTAAAGTTTACTCATTGATTCAAGGGTTTTGTGTAATTATCAAGGTCACACTGTCATTGATTCAAGGTATGTTATTACAAGGTCACACGCCCTTGTTTAAATATACAGTGTTACATTGTTTTATCTGAAATTTCTGTAAATATACCCAGGTGTTGAACAGGTGTTTTATCTAATAATTGTTCCACTATACGCGTTTCTGCAAGGTGGTTTTATTGATTCTCTGTACTAATATAACTCAGGTGTTGGCACAGGTGTTTATCGATCACGTGCGGTCAGCATCCATCAAGTAGTGCAGTGGCCTCACGTATTTGTCTAAGCCTTTTTTAAGTTCAGGGATTAGCTTCCCCCTAGGTACCAGTTTGTTCCACTCGTCCAACTCTATGCCCAACCAGTCTTCCTAATGGTTTTCTTTAACGTAAATGTGTGTACGGAAAGATGGGCCGAGCAGGCTCTGGGTGAGGCAGGCTATTCCTACGGCTTTTACCACTGACCCCTAGTCGGTTCAGGGTCATTAGGGGCGGCTCAGCTATTCCACAAGTTGTGACAAGATCAACTTTATTTTAGATAATTTTAAATTACACGCGTTTAGATAGGTACCGGGGAGTTTGTTCCAATATCCACAATTGATTACCAAACCAGTGCTTTCCAAAATTTTTCCTGAATTAATTTTCCACTTGAAACCATTGCTGGAGTTTTTCGGGAAATTTTAGTATGCTTATTTACTTCCCCTTATTTATTCTAGTTTTTCCATTTTACACCCAATCATATCCCACAAATTATCCCCTCTTTCTACAAGAGATGCAAATTCGGGCCCCTCAGTTTTCAATGAACATTTTGTTACAACAACTTTGTTCATCGGCTTTGTAGGTAATGTTGAGGAATAAAACGGGGAAAAATAAAACAAAATGCATTAATTAAATTTTTTTATTGACCGTTTCGCCCACAGTGAAAATTTCATAGATTAATCCTTATACTATGATTTATATATAGGCGGTAATAGTTGTTAAAATCGTTTAGGTTGGAAAATTGGAGCTACTTCCAGGGATGGGGCATGGATTAATGTATCTGAGAAATTTAGAATAACCCCGGTGGATTGAAAATGAGATTTTCCACTTATTTTGCGAGATGCGGACCCAAGAAATTGGCTGAATGATTCAGATGTTGTGCGGATTAAGAAAACTTTGGGTGTTCCGGGATTGGATGAGATGCGATGCGGATGTAAGAAATTGTGCGGGAAAATTTTTTCCGCGATGTGGATATGATGGGATATCTAACTATTATGTATGGAAATATAAAATTTTGTAACAATGGATCTTATTTTAGCTTTCCCATTCATGATTGTATCAATACAATCAAAGACTAATTGTGACCGAAACTGTCCCATTCAAGGGCTTTGGTATTTTACACCATATGTTAATCTTTATACAACATGTCTCATGCTGAATCTTATTGTAATTTTATATTATTATTATAATACAAAGATTTTTAAGTAATCAGTCCCTCAGCATGGAGTAAACTATATACTTCGTTCAAAAAGTCTTGCGAATAAGATATTACCCTATCATATTAATTCTTAACCACCATACTAATTATCCTAGATATTTAATTTTTCTCCACTTTACATAAGTTTCCTAAACCCTTTTAATTTCCCCCAACCACCATACATTTGTATCCCAACCATATACATAAAGTATCCTAAAAACCCTACTAATTTCCTAACCACCATACTAATGTTCCGAACCACAATTCATAATGTATCCTAAACCCCCTTTCATAAAGTACCGAAACCCCCAATTTTAAAAGTACCTAACCCCCATACAAATGTATCCCAACCCCCAACATAATTTTCCTAACCCCCTCATAATTTATCCTAACCACTATACATAATGTTCGAACACAATACATAAAGTTTCCTAACCACCCTACATAATGTATCCTCCACTATAAATAAAGTACTGAAAACCCCTACTAATGTATCCTAACCACTTACATAAAGGTATTTCCCAACCAATAACAAAAGATCCGAACCACAATACATAAGTATCCTAACCCCAACATAATGTATCCAACCACATAATAAAGTACCGAACCTAAAACTTAATGTTCCTAACCACTATACATAATGTATCTGAACCACAATACATAATGTATCCTAACCACCATACATAATGTATCCGAACCACCATACATAATCAGTAAACTGGCCATAGTTACATTGTAATCATAAGTAAGGTGACCATTGTTACATTGTAATCATCAGTAAGGTGACCTTAGTAACATTGTAATCAGCAGTAAGGTGACCTTAGTAACATTGTAATCATCAGTAAGCTGACCTTAGTTACATTGTGATCATCAGTAAGGT